AAAAAGTGGGTGTCCTGGTGTTTCCGTTCAAAACCACTTTCCAAAGAGATACCCTGAAAAACATAGACCCACATGAACAGGAAGTGAGTCACAATCGAAACCTGCTGTTCAAGGGGTCGGAAAAGGCTGCCGCTCCTAGTTCTGGTTGGGTTCGGGCTGCCCCTGCTACGAATCAACCTCCTCTGCACCCACTGGCTGGGTTGATTTCCTATAGATGTTCCTGTGGCATATGTCTACAGTGATGAGCTTGAGCACCTCTGGTCATTCCGAATTCTAACCACTGTGGCTTCAACAAGTCGATTCAAGTATTCGAGTCTATGCCATGGCCAACACGAATCTCTGGTCCACTTGGGATCGGCCACAAAGAGCCTACCTCTAGGGACGCTCTGCGGGAAGTGGAGAGCTTGGGCGCCCCACTCAAAAGCCTGTGATATGAGGGTGGTGGCAAAACAGCTACAACATTGTACCTGTCTGTGGGGTATCTGAGGATTGATTTCCAACAAAGGAAAGCTGTCAGCCAAAATGTTGCAAAGCAATCGCGTCTGGCGGCAAAACTAAACCGTCGATCTGCTTGTTGGCTGTGTCTGCCACAAACGCACCTGGATGCCACGGCGTCTTTCAAAAGCTTTCAATAAGAGGTGCAGCCACGCGCACGGGTGGCACCACATGCTGGAAGCATGACGAGTTAAGTTGCTCCTTGCAACGGACGGGAAGCTCATTCTGGACCAGACCCATGATAGTGACCCACAGAAAATGATTGTCAGCCAAGAACAAATGTGCACTGACACCTATTTCTATCACAGCCAGCTGATCTTGCCCCAGGGCTGCAGGCATGAACCATGTCCATCTTCCGCAAGCCTCCGTTTAAGTCTTTTATTTCGGTTAATTCATCACTTCTTGCTGGCCGTCCTGTCAATAGGAAGCAGCCAACATGAAGGTCAGCGTGTCAAATTCTATTCCAAACACCAGCCCAAGAACAGGCACAACTCATCTGCAGCACCCAACCATTCGGGCGAATAAGCATAAGCTAATACAGTGCTCGGCTGGCCTGAAAGCAACACACCGCTCGTGGAGCAGCAATCCTAGATTGAAAAAACAAGAACAGCTCTACTAAACGCAACCTCACCTCTTTGCAGCATCTTTTTGGAGGCTTCCGCCCCTGGACAAAAGACGAGAACCAAATGACATTCGACAAACAGGTGATCAACAAGCCAAGGCATATCTTTGCCCTTTTGAGACTTTGCGCCAGAACCCAACTGAGGGCCCAAGGGGGTAAAAAGAACCGGACAGCTCTCAATTTGGAACATGGCTTCTACCATCCCCCCCCAAAATAAAAATAAAAAATGGCTGCCGACCTCGGGGCCCCAAGTCCGCTCTAAACCTCTCCTCAGATCTGGTTGGCGGAACATCCCTGCGCGTTTTGGCTGCCGTCTTTCACGGACCGGGGGCTTCCCAGGGAAAACCTCCTCCGGTCCACCAGCTGCCGCGAAGCACCGAGCTCCGGGCCAAGGGATGGCCGCACTGGGGGCAGAAGCAACCGAAATCCGCGCGCTGGCAGCTTTCGCACCAGGCCTCCGTGACTCTGTAAGAATCGAAAGGGGGTTGCTTCTGGCCTGCAGTTTGGGCGAAAACCAAACCGCTTGGACAAATCACAAATTGCCTATCCCGCTTGGAATCCATTTGAGGCATTGAAACCATGGGCTATCTAGCAGTCATGAACAAGATTCATTTTGACCGAAATCCGTTAAGTCTTACATATCAAACTCAGATGTGCGAAGAAACAAGCAAGCAAACATGACGCTCCTTCATTTGATGGTATTGTTGATGAGATTCAATATGCTTACAAGTCTGAGTGCCTGCAGGTCAACAGCAAGAGCAATATCAAGCCATCTCAAGTTGTGGAGTGGTGCTTCTGCCGTATATCCCCTAATACGTAGTGGCAAGAAAACCACCAGCCAAAACATCCAACTCCTTGAAAGCCAGCGAATGCCATCCTGAAACTAGCTCGGAAGAACCATGGTTTGGTTCCTCAGGCTGCCAGGCGACACGATTACACCAAGTGCAGGCCAGCCTTTGAGTGGATTCATAGGTCAACCTGATTGCTTTTTTTCTGACTTGCACGTAAAGGTCCCTGCGAGAAGATTCGGATAAACCCCTTCGCTGGACATAGATTGGCATGGGTCATATACCTTTCGTTCACATCAACTCGCCGAGAGAGAGAGCGAGAGAGAAATCGGATTCCGGCCCCATGCCACGTTCATTTCAAGGCAACAGGGGAGAAGGGAAATACGTCAGGGTCACGTTTCTTTGAAAGGGACAAACAGGGAAAAATAAGCCACTTCCTGTTTCCTAACTTCGTCGAACATGTTGTGTGTTGCTGCTGGGTGGCGCAATGCGACGCAAACAAAAAAACAAGCAGCCGCTTCCTGAGATCCTGGCGTGCTCCTTGAGATTGTCGGCGTTTGAGCCTCACAAAGACTCGCAAATCCTGAGCCCTTCCCGACCCCGATCAACTGGTCTTGCTTGCCTGCAAGCCACAAATAGTATGAACGCAAAAAAGGGCTATTTGGCTGTGGGTCAAAAATAGGCACCCAAAATGGAACCCTGGTAAGTGGAAACATGGACTAAAACCTGCAGTCCAATTCCTGGTGGATGGATTTTTTGATCCATAGGTGGCCTCAACCTCTGCCAGTGTCGCTCCTGTATGCCTCCCTCAGGTTTCCGGCAAATCAGACCAACTTGGCGCGAAACAGGGGTCTGAATCTTTGCTTCGGGCCAGATGCAAGCAGACGTGGTGCTGCCATCCTTGAAAACTTGAACTTCCGAGTCTAAGCATCCGGTGCCAAGAACAAATGCCCGTGGACAACTCTTCACATGCACTGCTCAAGCGACTCCAAGAAGCTTGTCGTGCTCTTTCTGTTTCTTTACACAAACCTATTTTGTGCATCCTCTGGAAAGTTGCTTGCCTGGCTCTGTTCTTCTGTCGCACTCTCCTCCACTCCCTGAATTTCACCAGCAAATGGATGAAACGGCTGAAACGACCGAATCTACTGAAATGGCGGATACAGCCAAAAAGCTGAAACATCTACAAGAAACGGCTGAAATGGTTGAAAGGGCTGAAACGGCTGAATCTCGAGTTGCGCCGTTCTACGTGCGCAATGGAATGCATGAATCATGATCAGCCACTGGTCCGAGGAACACAAAGGAACGCATGGCAGCTGCGTTGGAACGGTGCAGTTTGTGCTCGGTTGCTGTGTCGCTACTTCCAAAAAGCACACGAGAAATGTCTCTCCGAGCTGAGAAACGGGACACAAGCTGGGGACCGCTTTCCAAGCTTTAACTCCCTGCATCTACAACGAAGGGCCGAGGCAAGAACATGTCTCGCTGCCCATCCCCAAACCTGTAAGAATAGGGGGTTTGCTTACTGATTTGCCATGCCTCAAGCAGGTCTTAGCTTTCAAACACCGTTTGGTTGGGCTTTCATCAGTCTCAATTCTGCTTGCCAGTTGTCCACCTGATGCAACCTATATGAGCTTCTCGCCGCAAATGAGTACCCTCAAACCGAGCGGTTTGTCTTTGAAGCCGCTTTCAAACCAACTTCGAAAAAGGCTTCTGGTACTAGTAAGTCCTCAAAGACAACAGATTGGAATTTATCAGAATTGTCCTTTCGCTTCTCACAAAACGCCATTCTGAGAAACACCCATATATCATATATGTATATATCATGTGTGTTCTCTATATATACGTGTATATATATATATATAAATGTAAATGTACAGTATACATAATACGCATAATACATATTTTAGCTAACTACCTTTTGACCAGGTAGCTCGCTGCACCAAGCCCACCCAAACTCTCAGCTTCCGGGCCTTCCCGGCTCAGGCCCTTGCTAACCTGCGAGCAAGCGCCAGGAGTCGGTCCCCTAAAATGCCTGGCTTCCTTGTGGTTTCCCTGAACACACCGAAAGCTGGTCCATTTGATGAACCCATGTTTCGGGCATGCCTTGTTTTTGCGGGATGTGAGTCGGCAGAAGGCAACCAGCTGTTGCCTTTGAATCGTGGCTGCTGATTCATGGGGTAAGGGGCAATCTTTGTCACGCTTTCACGAGCGAAACTCGCCCAGCAAATTACGTACTCCACTGACTCAGAAGCCGTGCGGGCCATGCTTGAACTTGTTACGGGCGCCAGTCGTTCAGGAGCAAAGGTTGGTACATTACGTATTTTAAAGAAGCAACCAGGGTTGTTTCCCAGTTGTGGGTTCAACCAATCGTTTTCTTCGTACCAACCTCTGACATCCTGCGGTCAGGTGGTTGAAAGCTTCCTGCTTCTAAGTGGTATGCAAAGCTGACAGTAGCAATCTTCAATAAACAGCACCCCTGCGACTCATCAAACTTTGTTTGCATGCGTCAAAAGTAGGACCGGGCAAGGAAACCGCCGGAACCTTTTTTTTAGGGATGGGGCCCCTGTGCGCACATACCATTTGTTTCAATATGGGGTTCAAGTTGTCATACCCATTGTTTCGGATCCCCGCAAACTTAACATATCCGCGGTTACAATCATCCCTGGGATATGCAGGACACTAGACCCCGAATCCAAGGAATTTGTCTGATTACTAGCAAATTTCATCTCATCTCTACCTCAGCTTTTCCCCGACCAAAGATGTTTGACTCTGGTCCATTTCGATCCATTTCGATCCATTTCGCAAGAGTGCCACATGGTGTTTCTCGGATTCTGGGGGACCTCAAAATGGCAGTTGCCGATTCCAACAAAGTTTCCCAAACCAATCCCAAAATGGCGGCGGCCCCCAGATCCTTTCCCTTAGGAGCCGGCCCAGCGCAGCGCTGCCAAGGCCCGCATGCCGACGGCCTTGCTTCCCATGCGGCCATGCGGCCCGGAAGCCGCAAGGAATCGCAAAGTGGAAGCTTGAGGGATATGCAATACATGTGAATCATGCGAATTGACATCCACCATGTCTGAAAAAGTGCTAATCAATCATACACCTGTGTATGTGTTTAGAGTTGTACTATTCATGTCTTGTTTCTTAAGGGAAAACAAAAAGCCCCCACCCCCCCCCCCGCCTTTCGGTCGCTCGCACAATATGAGACACGTCCATGTGGCTTAGTTAGAACCACACCTTATGCAAAACCTTAGTTGGTGTTATGCTTCCCTTTCAAGCCATCCGCGCAAAGCAACTTGTGACACATTCCCATTAACCTGCAAAAATAATTGAACATGAAGGTGATGGCGGATTCATCCCCGCAGCTTCCCGACAAATGCTCCTGCAACCTATTCATAAAGTCACCTTCGCTGTGATACCAAATTAAAGTGGGCCAGCCCCCATGCACTTTGATGCAGATAGCACAGAAAGCACAATTTTCCGTCACCCAGGACCTGGTCCCCGAAGTCACCACCCTCACAAGGACATGCGGTTGACTGGACTCATGCAATGGATCCCTGACCAGCCACCAACACGCAATATGGGGACACCCGCTGGAGAAAGTTCTACTCAGTAAACAATCATAAACCCTCGTGCTTTATTTATCTTGGCATGCGATCGCATTCTGACCGGTGCTCAGTACTCCTTAAGTCTTTAAGTGCGTCAGTCAAAAGGGACAACCAGAATGATGTGATCTTTCAGAGGTCCGCTGCAGTGTCTGGGAATGAAATAGGTAGGGGGTATGGGTGTTTATTGCCTCAAGTCCTGGTAAACTCGCCAAAAATGGGTCCGGGCTTCCGCGTGTTGGGGTGATTTCAATGGGCAACCACAGTGACGTGCAGTTGCAAGGCTCCCCTTTGGATACAAACCCTTAGGGATTGCTGGCCTCCCTGCATGTCCCCTTCAAACAAGGAAGATCACTTTGAATTGACCCCAAATTCCAAAGGTGACATTCAAGCAATCAAGAAGAGAAATATGGGGGACCTCGCATTGCGGTCTCCTTTTCAGCCCCTCAAAAACAAAACAACCTCCCCCAGCGCGTCCTGCTGCTTGCGCTTTGCCGCAGCTTCCGGACACTTGGGCCCACGGCGGCACACCGCTACGGCAAAGAAACAGGCAAGCTATTCTGCCCCACCTCCCCACCGAACCCCCCCCAGAAGACAACAAACGATCTTGGTTTCGGATCACAAAATCCAAGCAAGGAAAGCCACCAATAAAGCTTCAACACGCACAACTGACTCGACTTCAACTTTGTCTTCTGGCGAACTGGAGACCCATGTGCTTTCTGAACATCTCTGTTTGCACCGGCTTCTCTTGTGCTGTTCCAATGGGATGCTTCAGCTCCGGCATCCCACTCCCTCCGGCTCCCTTTCCCGGCCCGGCGCTTTGCGAATCCGACAGCCGCGGGTGACACTCCGCGGCTTGGTCCCCACGGCTCGACCGCTTTGGAATCGAAGGCCGCGCGGTCCAACGGCCTTGCTCAAGCCGAACGCTTTCAACAAATCTGTTGTCAGAAGCACACTACTGGTCCCCAGACATGGGCTGCCCAGACATGGACTGCCCCCAATTTCTGGTATGCGTCAAATCTATTGCCTCAGACTTTTTCATTGCTGGGATGTTGCTTGAAGGTGCAACTGCTGTAGCTTTGGCACGCAGAATCCCCTTCTCCTGATTTCCCCTCTCATGCTGCTACATGCTGCCATGTTTCTCACTCGTCCCAACAAAACACATAAACACCTGCCTGTACATGTTTGGGGGCATGCATTGATTTGTCCGGCCAACCAAGGTCGACCGAAGGGCCTGAATGTCTCGGAGGTTGCTTTCCAATCTTCCCAACAAACCGCGTAAAACTGCCTGTGCATGTTGGGCCATGCATTAAGTTCGGTATGGTTCACTGCCTGCGCAACACAATTACCATTGGCCATGCCATGCGCTTCAGCCGCACTTCAATTCCATCAAGGGATGTTTCTCTGGCCAAGCAACGCAAAGCAGGTCTTTCAAGCTAGGGGCCGAAGTCCAAAAGCACACCCCAGAAGTCATAACCCTATGACTCATGTTAACCGCATCTTAGGCCTGACTGAGATTGCTTTGAATAACGATGCGCAGCCAGGTCCAAACAACATCTTGACCCACCTCTCCGCCGGAAATGTTGTCGACTCATATCGGCTCTCCACAAGGCCAACCGCAGCCTAGCTACTCCGGATGTCAAGCTTTGCTTGGCTACTCCAGTGACCCCTGGGGCTAAATGTGCAAGTCGGCAATCGACGCCTTGCTCTGCTCTCTTTGTGTGTCAACAAAAAAAAACAAATAACATAGGCGAACCGATCAAACCTGGGAATACAAGAAAGAAGGCTCTCAAATTGCGTCTTCGCCGCAAGAAAACAGAGTGTATTGCTGACCAGCGCAGCCCGACCGCAACACGTTGCATGCATGGTGCTTCGACACTGAGACCCTTGCCACAATTGCATCGGCATCTCACAAACGCCGCTGAATTCATCGGCACATTTGCGGTTGGTAGCTGGATCGTGAGCAGCCAAACCAGTAGGTCTCTCTCAGTCGGGTTGCAAACTAAGTACGTTCCTTGCCCAGAGACTCCACTAACTCCATATTAGCAGCTTGGAACTTGCGTACAGGGAATTTGTCGAGCAGACATGTCCAAATCAGCAAAGGAGTTACTTGGATATTGTGGGTTGGAGTTCAAGAAGCAACCGGATCCTGCGCAAAAGTAGACACTGGGGGGAGTTGTGCCTGGAAGTCGCGGCATGCTACATGAACTACACCAAGAACAAACGCAACAAACGAAGGGCCGGGTAGTTGCTGCTGGCGATTTGCGCGATGTGATGCTATCATAATTGAAGCCACTCGGAACGTTGCAAAGAAACACGCATGTGGGAAAGAGAAGTGTGGTCTCATGCTTGTTGCAAACTCTAAACGTGTTGAACGGGTTATTCATCATTAACCGAGTAGCTGAGTAGCTGGTCTGCCAACATCCATGGACGGCAGACTACTTGCCGCCTATCTGCCTGATCTCTGGCTGATCGCTACCGTGCCATAACCCAGGCCAACGCCATAGCGGGCAGCCACAGTGAAAAACAGGCGGAAGCACCCGTCACCGGGGTCTTGCGCCCAGCTGTGGTGGTTGTGGGACCCAACGCGAAGTCGTTGATGTCCACAGCCTGCCAACGGGCAGGATACGTCCAGCATGGTTCCATTCTGTGGCGGAGCCCGAACAGGAACCCCACAAAATACCAAGTTGCAACGGGGAGTTGAGTCAGCTCTGCAGCCCTGGAGCTTGAGCTACTCCTCGCTTAGAAGGCTTGTGAGCTCATCATGGTAAGTACTGCTTACTCAAGGGATGCATATGAAGACCGTCTACAAACACAATTCGCTCAAACAACGAGAGAACTGTATATTATCTGGTATCCTCATTTGTACCAAGATGCGCCGAACTGTAAATAGCTTACTCACAACCCCGTTGGTTGGTCAAATGTAACTCCCTTTGGGACAACCAGCAACGGTCTTGAAGGAAGCTAATGTATCATTCTGCTGAGGCCTTCGAAAAATCTAGCAACTGCTGACGATCAATTCGTATGCACAACTTGTCTAAGATTCCAGCATTTCCGCTCAGATCCCTGGGTGTGTCCCACAATAGGGGAGCACACAAATGGTGGTTCAAACCCTCCCAAAAAGGTACCTTCCAAAAAGACACACCCACGTGTTGCAGCTGACCAACTGCCAGTCAAGAACTCACTCAAATCAATCTGGCTGCAGGAAGCCAGGTTCCTCGATTCCGCGGGCTCAAAATTTACTTCAAGTGGTAGGATTGGAGTATTTTATTTGTGCTTGAGAAATGTGTCAGCAAGGCGTCGCATGGCGGACACATGTTTGCAGAGAAGGCAGCGACGCAGAAAGCGAGGCAAGCCGTAGTGCCGATGGCCAATGTGGCTGTCTAGAGGCGGCTGACAAACATCTATCCATAATGGGAGGTCCACCGGGGATGCAAACACGGGCTCCGCCAAGACTGCTATACCTATACCTACCATGGGCCACCTCAAGCCGTCTAGCTGAATGATTCAGCAACCAAAAATCCGCGGAACCCTCCAAAGCAAAGCTTGGGTAAATTCGGCAACGCCCTTGTGCCGAGGACATGGCGTCCCTTGCAGCCAGTTCCAAGGTTTTTAGACATGAAACCAAAGAGACATATGTGAAATATGTACATACAAATATATGCCGCACCCCCCCCCGCGCCAAAATAGTAGACCTTTTTAGCATTATTGGCTGTGATATATGCCCTGCGCTCCAAGAAGCTCGGACAAATGCAGTTGTTTTTCCCGCACACACACATACATACACTACACTTGTCTGTGGTTTATGAAGGGTTCCCCTCTGCCAACCAAATACCCCCCCTCCACGATGGAGAAACAAAAACATCCCTTCAAGAAAACATGAATCACTGGGTCTTCCTCCCAAGCTCCACCCCCCTTCCCCAGCCCCCCGGCCGCCGCCCCAACAGGGGGGAACCAACGAAACCCCGCACCCGACGCGGCGAAGGACTCGCCTTGCCGGTGCGGATGCCCCGTGTCGCCACCAGCAGCTTGGCGGCGCCCTGCGGCACCACGGCCGCCAGGTCCACCTGGAACCATCGAAGCGAGCGCTTGGAGTAAACCGAAGCCCGAGGGACGGGGCCCCGTGGCTAGCAGAAGGGGCTCTCAAAATGATTGGGGCAACGCATTGAAACTACCCGGATCGCGGGTGTTTTTTTGTTGCGTGCCACTTTAACCCAGTCCAAAGACCTCTGAAAGGAACAAGGCTAGCACATTGGCTCCCCCCAAAAGAACAGGAAATCCTCGATTCTGAAGGGAAATCAAAATCAACACGAGGCCCGCTACCCTGGTCGTCCTTCTGTGCACGAGCTTGTAACACCAACGGCAAAGTGAAAAAGGGAGCTTGACCAACACAGGCAATGGACATATATAGACCCATTGGATTTCTCGATGCGCAGTCCGTTTTTGACACAACTCGCTCTCGGACGAGTTGATTGCTTTTTGCTCCTGCAAAGCAACATGGCACGCGAAAAGGGGTCGCCTAGGAGTTTCCTCTGGAAAATTCTGGCTTGGGGTCAACATATATACATCTGCAGGAGTCCTGGAGTCCCAAAGGACCGCATCTCTATTTGCCAGACATTGTCCACAGCTTCAAGTAAATTGAAATGGGTGACTTCAGCCTGAAATAAAACAGGAATCTCCATTGCTGATTTTAGTCGCAACACTGGTGAAGTCGCGATTTCAATACCCAAAGATCACTATATAGATTGGCTTCTCTGGGCCTACATGCTGGATGTCAATACTGGCTTCACCATGTTGATCACGCCTGACTCCCCAAAATCCCAGTGGCCATGGGGGTTCAAGGGGCACCCTTTCTGGGTGCATGTAAAGGCAAACCCCCTCCAACGACGGAGGAAGCAAACAAACGCAACCGGAAGTCTGAGACTTCCAGCCCCCCCGCCCCTAGCGCGCCGTGTAGTGCATCACCTCGCAGCAGCCACCCTTGGCCATGATGGGGGCCCTTGGCACCCTTGCGATCGCCGCGCCCATCGCCTCACAAACAGATTCCGCTGGCTGGGCCCTATGGAACCCACAAGAGCAATGGATGTGTTGGAGGGTATCCATGTTCAGGGCTTAAGGGAAATCAGAGAAAGCACCCATTTTTTGGGGTGCCCCTCTTTTGACACATACGCAAATTGCTTGGCAATACAAAACTAGAAGTATTGGCAATACTAATGCAATACTTAGGTCATCCAAGCTCCCTGCCAGACCTTTCTACCGGTCGCCGAGCACTGCTTTGACTGTTCCCGGGGGGGGAAGGGGCACCTGCATTTAGCATGCGCAGTCTGTAAGGCGCATGTATCCAGCATGCTCTCTCGCCGCCTCTCCGCAGTCGTCTGCGAAGAAAATATCATAGCCCTCCTTGGGTGCGAAGCAAGTTCACAAAAACAACTAAGCCTCACGCAAGGCGGTGGCACGGTCGCCAATAAAGAGCAACCCCTTCTGTTGGGCACCGCGAGACAAGGAACAGGTTGCCTCTTTCCTACAAGGGCCTGGGCCAACATCAATATGGAAAGATACCAGCTCGATGAGAACGGGGCGTTCCGCCTATGCGATTTGACGGGAAGTGGCGATCCGTCTGTCAACCTGCGTGCTGTGTTTCCTCTTGTTCCATGTCCAGGTGTCCACCTGCTCCTCATCCACCATGCCCTCCACCACGGCAGGCCCGAAAGCCACCTGCAAATTCCGGCGAGGGCGGAGACCAACGAGTGAACCGAGCGAAGCGGGATTTGGATCTCCTTCACTACTTTGTCGTGAGGATGCCTCTGGCCACTCACAGAAAGCGGGAAAGTGGTGACTGACCAATCTTCCATGGAGCAACTTTTGGAGATGGCAAACTGAAAATATTTGCCCTAAATCGTGTCCACCTAAGAAACACCAACAGAACCCTCGCCCTGCTTTGTGAATTGCTTACCCACGTTAGCGACATGGCGGTCTCCAGGAAGTGAAACAGGTAACTTGCGAGGGGTTCCGGCGACGGATGTCACTCACCATAGGTAAGCAGCATGTTGTCCTTTAGCCAGTTGAGTACTTCAGTGATCATAGTGGTCACTGAACTCACTGCGACACAATAGAACATTGTCTCGCGAAGCATGAACGCGTTGTACTGCACCAATTTATGAAGATGTGCAATCTATATTTATGATGTGTATACATAATATATATATATATATACATATATATATATATACACATAATATGGGTACATACATAAATTAACAAGCGTGCCTCTATGTATATATGTATGCGCTTCTCGGATATTGGGCGTACATAGTATCACATCGCACCTCACTACGTTGTGCAGGTTCTGACTGCAGATGAAAGGGCAACAAACACATGGGCATGGATCGCCCGTTTTTTGGAACAGTACATAGAAGGTTGCAAACACGATGCAGCCGCTTTGACACAAGGCGCAGTGAAAACATGCGCCCAGGGCAGTCTGCCATTCACAGGTTATGAGCCCAAGTCACGTTAGGTGACTGCGACCACGCAGCTATGGCCACTGGATCGGGGAGATCCAGGAGGATAAGAACGCTGGAGGCCAATGAGGCCCGAGCAGATGAAACGGCTCGATGAGTGGACGGAAGAAGCGCCGCTGATCCATTCGACTGGAGCTGGAGGGAGCAGAGAGGGGTTTGAGACCTACATCGAGAGGTCCAACGAGGACATGTTGGAGAAGAAGGAGTTGGTGCTGGCAGCACAACAACTTGCTCTACCGGTACCAGGGGGACATGCCGAAGGCGCTCGGGTTGCCCAATGGCAAGAACAAAGGCCCCCACAGCCGGCTCTACCTGGACCTGGAGGACTTGATGGAGGCCCTCGATTTGCTCAATGGCCTGATCCAATGCAGGAGATGCGCTACTACATGGTGCAGTTGATGGCCGATAACCGGAGGCTGCAGAAGGAGGTGGTGCACTGCGTGAATAAGGTAGCAGATATGCAGCTGAAGTGGCAACCGCCTGAACAAGGAGCTGTACGAGGAGGAGATCAGAGCGACAGGTTCGCAACCCCTGAGGAGCATGGAACCCCAGAAGGCCATGGAGCAACAGGAGAACCTGCTGATCAGGAAGAGGAGTCTTCTGAGATGAGGGAAGATGAGCCTGGTGGGGAAAAGGGACAGTCGCTGGACATCATGCTGAACATTGTCCAAGGGATGCAGATCATGCAGCAGCAGATGCTCAACCAGCAGAAGAAGCCAGATGGGGTCGAGGATCACAGCGAGCTGGTGAAGAGTGGCGCTATGGAGCTGCCGAAGCTGGTGGAGTATCGGCCGGAGAGCGCGCCGATCGATCTGGGAGATTGGATTTGCGTCCTGGAGCCCATCATGGCGGATCTCAGCGAGTCATCGCATCAGTGGTGGCACAAGGTGGTGGAATCGGCAAGGGTATGGTACGCGAAGTACCAAACCACGCCGCCGCTGGAGAGGCTTCGCTTGCAGCCGAAGGATCCTCCGGAACTTCAAGAAGCCCGGTGGAGGAGGTTGGAACGGAGGGCAGTGGGACTGATCCTACGAGCTCTTCCAGAAGGAGCCAAGGAAGAGATGGTGGCGACGAAGTCTATGACGTGCTACGCCATCCTCTGCAAGCTCATGGCTAGCTATCAGCCGGGAGGTCTGGTGGAGAAGGGGGTGATTTTGCAGAACTTGGAGAATCCCCCGGAAGTGGACTCTCTGGCGTCCTTGGTGGTTGGTCTGAGAAAGTGGATGAGGTGGAAGCAACGGGCGCAGGAGTTGGGGGTTACCATTCCGGATCCGACGGTATTGGCCCGGTCCCTCAACAAGATGATCAAGAAGGTGCTGGAATTGCAGCCGGAACTCGCCTTCAGAATGGCCTTGGCGAGGAATGCGCTACAGCTGGATTCCATCCCATCGCACGAGGCAGTGGAGAAGTACGCGGAGCATGCGTTGTCGGAGGTGGAGGCCATCGCTCATTTGGAGAAGGAGGTCAAGACGCCGGCGACAAAGACTCAGATGGTGGACGCCAAGGTCAAGAAGGTGGACACCGTGGACGGCAAGAACGAAATGAAGAAGGCTGGAGAGGACATCCGGCCCTGCAAGTTCTTCCTTTCGGAAAAGGGCTGCAGACGAGGGCGTGGGTGCAGATGGAGCCACGACCAAGAGGATGAGAAGATGAGGTGTTGGTCTTGTGGGGCGAGTGAGCACCTGCGGAAGGACTGTCCTGTCGCTGTGAAGGGTAGCCCGGACCGAAAGCCGAAGGTGGCAAAGGTCGGTAGCGAAGGAGGGGACAAGAAGGAGGTCGGCGCTGAAGCCCAGAAGGAATCAACTCCGAGGGCAACGACCTCATCGGCAACGGTGCATGAGGACTCCCCGGGAACGGCGAGTTCGGCATCCAGTGAAAAAGACAATGAGGCGATGAAGGATGTGCTCCAGGAGGCCACCAAAATGCTCAGGAGCCTCAACGTCAAGGCGCCGGGAAAGAGCGCGCAAGAGGAGGAAGAAAAGAAGCTGCTGGACCTTCAGAAGCAGTTGGACGGCATGAGAGAAAGGATGAGGGTTCGCCAGATCAAGTTGTCCAAGATGGAAACAGCCGGTGTTCGGGGTCTGGTGGACTCGGGAGCAACGAACCCACTCAGGGCCGTGGAAGAAGGCGAGGATGTCGAAAGCTATGAGGAACGGACGGTGGAGCTGGCAGCCGGGGAAACCTACAGCTTGAGGGTAACCCCGGGAGGCACGCTCGTTGCGGAGGACAAGAGAACGCAGCCGATCATTCCCATGGGCATGCTCACGAAGGACCTGAATTGCAAGGTCAAATGGAGTGGGAAGGCGTGCACTATCCTACATCCTGGACGAGGACAACTACCGGTGGTGATGAGTCAGGGGTGCCCGGAGGTGCCGAGGGCATTGGCACTCAGTCTGATCCAGGAGCTGGAGGGTGTAAATCGCCACAAGATCCGATCGCTGTCGAGGCGGGAGGAGGTGGACTTCGTGAAGAAAGTCGTGGAAATGCATCCGGTGTTCGATGAAGTGCCGGAGGCGATGCGAGAGCTGATGGTGGAACCGGCAGAGGACTGGAAACCGCTGGGGCTGAATCGTAGCCGCAGAAGAAGGCTTGAGAAAAAGGGAGGTGCGGTGGTGCACCTGTTTGCAGGCCCGGAGGAGGGATTCGACCTTTCGAGGGCATACAAGGAGCAAGGTGGAGATCCGCGGGACATCTTGGAGTATGACATTCTCCGAGATGAGGCTCATGACCTCTTGAACAACGAGCTCATGAGCGGTTTGGTTCGGCTGGCGCTGGACGACCGGATCAAGGCCGTGGTGGGCGGGCCGAATTGCAGGACGAGATCGGTGCTACGGTTCTACCCGCTGCTGAACAGGGCTAAGCCACGCCCGGTGAGGACGATGGAGCATCGATGGGGCCTGCCGGAGATGGACGAGGGAGAGAAAGCAATTGTCCGTGAAGACGATGTGCTGATGTTCCGCTTCATCCTGGTCTATCTCCTGGCAGACATCACGGCGAAGGCAAGAAAGAATGAAGGGGGTGGTGTGAAGTTCTTCATGGAGCAGCCGGCGGAGCCTAAGGGAGAGCCGAGATGTGCTTCGTGGTGGAGAACACCGGAGTGGAAGACCCTTGAGAAGCTCCACGACTTGGGGGAGGTTACCTTCATGCAGGGAGACTGGGGTGGACGTGCGGTGAAGCCTACGACGGTGGGCACAACGATGGACTTCCAAGGGCCGGAGAAGGGTGTCTGTGGGCTACATTTGGGAGAAGCTCTACGTCATGATCGGGAGGTTGAGAAGCCGAGGTGGGAGATGACGGATGAGGAGAAGCTCAGCTCGTCGAAAGCGTTGGCTAGATAGGCCCCGGGCATGATGAGAGAGCTGGCAAGATGCCTTCGGAAGGAAGTGGATGGCCAGTCGAAGGTGAAGGTGAAGTCTCTTTCGTGGGAAGAGCATGTGAAGCTGGGCCACCTGCCTTTTCGGCGGGACTGCCGGGTCTGTCAGGAGGCTTCGGCACGGGACCGCCCACATAGGCGTGTGCGACACCCGGCTGGGAACGTGTTGTCGGTGGACCTCAGTGGCCCGTTCATTATGGGCACCGATGTGGACGGGGTTCAGGACAAGAGGTACTTGTTGGTGGCAGCGTACACATGGCCACAGATAGACACATCAGAGGGAGAAGAGCTTCCTGGTGATGAGGGAGGTGAAGAAGAAGGTGGCGGGCTTGAAGAAGGTCTACTACCGGAGGAGGATCCCGGAGAGGAGGCGGCGGAAGAGGGCTTCGAGGTTGGAGGAGCAGCTGAGGAGCAAGAGCAGCCGATCCTTCCGGAACCCCAGAAGGAGCCTCACCCGTTGAAGACGCTCTACATGACGATCCCGCTCAGATCCAAGGATCGGAAAGAGGTCTTGGCGGCGATACAGGAGGTCTACATCAGATTGAGGAGAGAAGGCTTCTTGGTGCTGAGATTGCACTCGGACAAGGGGGGTGAGTTCATGAGCAAGGAGCTGGCGAGCTGGTGCCGGTTGAGAGACATCAGGAAGTCCACCAGGACTCCTGATCAAATGCAGGAGAACGGTCGAGCTGAAGCAGCGGTGGGAGTGGTGAAGTCGATGATGAGGCGGGTGCTCATCGCGACGAAGTGGGATCCCGTTTGGTGGCCTTGCATTGCTCGCTACGTATCGGAGGTGCGCTTCGGCTACGATCTGAAGGGCCACAAGCCGAAGTATCAGTTCGGTGAGGACGTGGTGGTCCCTAAGAGGGCTTGGAAGCAGAAATCCTTCGAGGCCAAGAACCAGAGGGGCAAATATCTCGCGCCGCTCTACGACATCACGCATGGACATGCGGTGCTGTTGAACGCAGACCAGAAGGTGGTTGCGGTGTCGAAGGTGCTCTCCGGATTGCGAGAAGGGGATGGTCCGGACGCACCCGGAGCAGATGGGGATGAAGAAGAGGAGAACCGGGAAGGGGATGCTCTCTTTGACGAGGCCCTTCGGGTGAGAAGGATAATGAGGGTGAAGACGAGCGACCCAGCTCGAATGGACGATGGTGGAGGTGACAAGGTGGCGGAAAGGATTCGGCTGCTTCGCCACATCATAGTGGAAGAAGAAGAAAGGATGCTGGAGGATGAAAAGGAGACGGCAGAGATGACCTTCCGGATGGTGCGGAAACTGCGTGAGGAGGAGGAGAACCTGAAGCAGACGGTTCCGGATCAGACGGAGGCGGAGAAGATATTGCACACGAAGATGGTGTCCCCGAACGAGGTGATCTCAGACAAGGAAGGTTGGGCGGCCTCGATCAAGACCGAGCTGGATTCGCTGATGACGGAGAAGCAGGCGCTTCGGAGAGTGCCACCCAGAGAGGCCGAGAAGCTGATCAAAGAAAAGGGCAGCAAACTGTCAGTGGTACCTGCCAAGGCAATCTTCAGTGTGAAAGCCGGGAGTTCGAGACGGAAGACCAGATTGGTGGTCTGCGGGAACCATGTGGAGAGGGACACGGAGGCGGAAGGCGACACCTTTGCGGGGGGAACGGACATAACGGCAATCCGCCTGCAGGTCAAGGTGGCCATGGAAAGGAAATGGACAATGTCGGCGCTGGACATCAAGTCTGCGTTCCTCAATGCGGATCTGCACGAGGAGAGGGAGCCGGAGAATTTGGTGGCAATGAGACCGCCGACTATCATGGTCAGATTGGGCTACGCGGAGCCGGGTGAGCTGTGGCTGATCGACAAGGCCATGTATGGGCTTCGACAGAGCCCGAGGAGATGGTCGGACCACCGGGATGCCGAGCTCGCGAAGCTGACTTGGGAGGTGAACGGCGCCTACTACAAACTGGAACAGTGCGCTGCGGAGCAGAATCTGTGGCGGATCTTGGAGGTTCGTGATGGAACGGAGGCGTTGGCCGGTTTGGTGTCCATCTACGTGGACGACGTCCTCACGGCAACGGAGGAGTCGGTGCGAGAAAGGTTTGAGGCCGTGATCTCAGAAAGATGGGAGACGAGTAAGCCAGACGTCCTGACGGAGGATTGCCAAATCCGGTTTTTGGGTATGAATCTGATGAAGAAGGAGGGCGGCATCTTCCTGCATCAGAGCGACTACGTGGAGGAGCTGCTGAAAAGACATAAGGATGAGCTGGTGAGATCCAAGACGCCGATGTCCAAGGAATTAGCAGACGAGGCGGATCAGGACCCGGGCAACTTCACGGCCATGGACCTCACGAAGGCTCAGAAGGTGACGGGGGAGATTTTGTGGCTGATGACGAGAACACGGCCAGACCTCCTCTACAGCATGAGCCGCATGTGTAGCATGACGTCCAAGAATCCCAAGTGGACGATCAAGGCCGCGGGCTATGTCCTGGGGTACCTGAAGGAAACGAAGGACGGGGGACTGTGGGTGTCCGGGGATGCTGGACGGCATTGGTCTGGACATGGAGCAGCTGGATTGCAGGCCTACGCAGATGCGTCGTTCGCACCATTGGGAGAAAGGAGTCAAGGATGTTCCTTGGTGGCGTGGAATGGCACGCTCATTGCGTGGAAGGCCGGGAACCAGGCGTTTCCAGCACTGTCAACAGCCGAGAGCGAGCTGATCGAAGCAATTGACAGTGTGATCCTCGGGGACAGCGTGGAGGCACTGATCACGGATACCTTGGGGATGGATAACTTCAAGAAGATGCTGCTGTCGGACAACGCGGCAGCGGTGGCGATAGCAACGGATGTCACGGGTTCATGGAGGACGAGACATCTCCGTCTTCGGTCGTTCCATTTGAGGTGGAGGATTAGGGCCGGAGATTGGGAGATACGCCATTGCCCGGGACAGCAGATGTTGGCAGACCTTGGCACCAAGCCCTTGGGCCCGGCGAGGATCAAGGAGTTGTGTGGCCTCTGGGACCTCAAGGCTATGCGAGAAGAGAGCGAAGCTGTCAGATTGAACAAGACAGTGGTGCAGGGTAGCAAGGAGAAGTGGATCAAGTTGCTGGTGATCCTCATTATGGTGGCCGGATGTAGGGCCCAAGGAGAAGGTCAGCAACAGGAGGAGGAAAGAATGGATCTTTCGGTGGTGGTGCTGCTGATCGCAGTGGTTGCGATTGTGGTGTATCGCCTGATGAGTGAAGTGGCGTCGGCTTTCTGTGGAAGGATACGGCAACTCAGAGTGTTGAGCGCGGAGCAGGGCACCCAAACTGATGACGATGAGGAGGTGATCGATGTGCCAAGAGCATGGAGCACTTCGGTGGCCAGGTCTTCGAGCTCTACCAGCGGGGATCCGTCAACGGCAAGAACATTGAGAAGGCGACGTGGAGGTGGCGAACGTCAGCCAGAAGGGCAAGTCGGTGAGGAGCCCGCTGCAGCAAGGCCGGCTGAGCCGGACGAGGTCGATGAGCGCCTGAATGCCAGATGGCGCGAGGAGCTCATGGTGATGGAGCAGCTACGATGGCGAGAGCTGCAACCGGAGCCGGAGGCAACGGAAATCTACCACCTCACGGCGATGGGAGATAAGGTGCATTGGCGCCGCAATTGCTTCGGGCTGAGGAATGCCACAGCCAGGGGCTTACGGGCGGTGCTGCCCTGCCCGAACTGCTGGCTTGGAGAAGGTCAACGGCGTCGAGGAGCGAGATCGTGGCGAGGGCAGGATGGCTTCTTGCATGCCAATCACCGATGCCCCGGGATTGGACGAGAGCCACAGGCTCCGCTGACGAGAGACACAGTCACGGGGACTCGCATGAGCGGCTTGAGCGGAGGAAGCGGCAATAGACCGCTGGCTTTTTGGTTGTTGCTTGGCACTCCCCACGCAACAAGGAGGAGTGCGGATGAAAGGGCAACAAACACATGGGCATGGATCGCCCGTTTTTTGGAACAGTACATAGAAGGTTGCAAACACGATGCAGCCGATTTGACACAAGGCGCAGTGAAAACATGCACCCAGGGCAGTCTGCCATTCACACTGACAACTCGTTGTGTTTCTGCAACTGAGATCAGCTACAGTCAAGATGCAACAAGATTCGCAGTGCCCTGGCTGACATTCACAGTAGGTACATGCCCCGTCCTAGAATCACATGCATCGCAAGGCAAGCAACTCGGCTTCAATTGGAATTGACTTCCCTTCCTCAGGCAAACAGGCAAGCGTCATTCCTCTACTCAGGGGTGTCATCCTGTCTGATTGCGCTCTTGGAAGCCACGTTGATGGGCTGGGAAGATGGCAGCGTACTTGAAAACCAGACCCCCGGGTCTCATTTCAACAAGCAACAAGTGGCGACCCATTCTTGAAAGGAAATGCCACAGGCTTTCAAACAGTCAGGGTGGCACCTTTGTCGCGCTACAATGAAACAGCTGTTTAAAACTGTTAGCTGAAACTTGCCCCTTTGGCCTGCAGGCAAGCTCTGTTTGTAGAAGGACGCTGGCCCAGCCTTTGCCTCCAACCACGTAAAACTATCATCTTTAGATTCTGGCCCGAACTCAGTCAACCTTAAGACATAACATCAGCTGGGTGCTAAAATCGTTGGTTTCCTT